CTGGGGGTCACGGAGGTATGGGAGATCTGGATTTTTCACATCTTTTTTTCATCCAGGCTTCCTACACTGTACAAAATGCAAGGGTCCACACAATTTATGTCATCACAACATAATCGATTAAGTTAACTTAACAAATAGAGGTGGATTGAACATAAAACAATTAAGTTGTCGCAAATAAAATGAAATATTGTGTTGTTTCAGCTCATTCTAAATAAGTAGTTTAAACAAGGAGCAAAATCATTTTTTGGAGTGTAGCTGTCTCAGCACTGACCAGTGTTTGTTACATATTAACTATCTTAATCAGGAACAGGAACTCCTGCTGATCATTTACAACCTGTTTCCGCTGCTATTCATTGCACTTTTGATCCTGCCACAAGTGGACCACGCTAAATAGAGGTGTGAATACAGGTTCTGAAAGGTTGTGGACCACTTCTAGAGGTGGTGGAAAACACATTTGATGGGATTGTTTTCATAGCGTAGATGCTCATGGGGATGAATGCATTTGAACAGACACAAAAGGCCAGCTGCTCATCGCCTACTGACCTAATTCTTGTACATTTATGTGGTGTGTTGTGAAAGTGCACTGGCCAGACAAGATTTAAAATTGCCTGACTGAAATCACAAGTATCTTCTGAAGGCAAAGTGTTTTTTAACAGCATTGATTCTAATCAAGCACAAACCCACAGCTTTCAGTGTCGGTTTTGTGGCTATCAGAGCAAAAAAAAAAAAAAAAAAACAGTTGAGTTTTACCATTTTTTAATCCATTCAGATGATCTTCGGTCTGACGGAAGCACTTTTAGTTTAGCTTAGCATAGATCATTGAATCAGATTGGACCATTAGCATCTTGCTTATAGAATAAAAAGAGTTTCTGATGATTTTCCTTTTTAAAGCTGGACTCTTCTGTAGTTATGTTTTGTAAAGAGGCCGACAGAAAATGAAAAGCTGCTATTTACTATGTTGATATAAAACTACTTTCATTCTGGCATTAATCAAGGAACTTTGCTGCTGTGGCAGATGCTAATGGTCTAGTTTGATTTAATGAGTTATGCTAAGCTTAGCTAAGATAAAAGTCTTAAAAGTAAGATTGACTGAATGGGTTCAGTAGTTGTAAAACTGAACTGTTTACTTCTAAGGGACTTGTAAAATGAGCCTATTTCCAAAATGTTCAAGTGTTCTGATAAATAAGTGTAAACTGACAATTGGACGATATTCTACTTCCACATTCAAATGAGGAAAAAATTAAGGGTTCTTTGTCCGACGATGAGACATTTCTCAATATTCTCTGTTAAATTTTGACATATTTTACATAGACTTGTCCTTTTAACTACTACAAAGACTTCAGAATTTGCACCAGTCACATTTACGTTTCTGAGGCTGGGTTTTAGAAAAGAAAAGTGCAGGTCTGCAGAAGTCATTGTTCCCCACACACACCTCGAGTGCTCCTTGCAGTTCAGCGCTCTTGTGTTTTATCCATAAAACCTGAAAGCCTGCCTAACAGTGGATGCTTGTACAGCGGTATTGACATGAAGCTTTGGCCGGGGAGTGCAGTTTACCTTTTAAGGACCTGATAATGCACCTCAGAGAGCAAGAACAAAAAAGAAAGTCTGTGAAGCAGAAATGGAGAGTCTGGCAGAAGAACAAACGCAAAAGTACAGCTAGAAATCAAGTTCAGTGCAAAAGTCAAGAAATAACTCCCAGAAATGACTGTAATTTTGCAACATATACTAGCAACAGTGTGACCTAGACTAAAGGAGTAAGTAATAATAATAACTAATGCATGAATCAGCAGGAACACTCACCTTTATTCTGTATGAGTCCCATAAAGCAACTGATGACTAATTTCCTATTAAGCCTCCACAGTGAATACTTTTAGAATTAGCAACACCGTCCCTATTCTCACATACGATCACCTTGGATTTCTAGTTTGCTCTTCTGTTCAATCTAGTGAGATTTCTTCTTTATTTAGAATGAAGGAGAACAGAAAATCAATAGGCCTAATGGGGTAAGTGGTGTACCCATCAGGCCACATGGTGCCATGATGTACGCAGTTATTTTAAGTGTTAAGGTACTATGGCATACATTGTTTTCGCATTTTACTTCAGTGCCTTGGGGAGAAATTCTTTGTGTTTTAAGAAGCTTGTCTTGTGTTAAAACCAGATCAAACCTGATGTTATAACGCTGATGCATTATTCCCACATTAATACGGATCAGGTTATTTATAGTGTTTCTGCTAGGGCCCCAAAATAAAAAGGGTTTAGAGTGTTTCTGAAAACAATGTGGACTCTCAAATAATGTCTATGAATGTCATTTGTATTAAATGTAGGTTATTGTTAATATTGTGCTCTTTAGCTACAGACTCTCCTAAAACTTCACTGACTTCCAGTTTTACTGAGGTGGTCATAGTTTTATAATGCTTGCACACAAAGGTGTTTGTTAATAATAATTTTTTTTATGTCCTTTGTAATTTTTATTAACAAAACAAAACATGAAATTTCCGAATGACAATCATCTGAAGATCCAGTCAATTCCCAAAATCATCCCGTCCTACTTTTGTCATCATTCACAATAGAGAAAGTAATATTATCACAAGTTCAAGACTAGTTTAGGTGTCTGAATACTTTATGGTTTCAATTTCTTTTGTGAAATTTGCTCAGTCTCAATTTTAGTATATAAAAACAGTTTGATTTTTAATAGCAGTATTTGACTGTTTTTACATCTTTAGATTAATAACTTGTTTTATAGTCATTTTTAAATAAGTTATAAACAAAGATCGACCAGGTATCTCGATAAATTGGTTCCAATTATTCATTCGTTCATTTTCTTTTCAGCTTAGTGCCTTTATTAATCCGGAGTCGACACAGTGGAATGAACCACCAACTTATCCAGCATATGTTATAACACAGCAGATGCTCTTCCAGCCACAACCCAGCACTTGGAAACACCCATTCACTCATGCATTAACACACATACACTACGTCCAATTTAGCCAATTCAATTCACCTATACAACATGTCTTTGGACTGTGGTGGAGCACCTGGAGGAAACCCTTGTGAACATGGGGAGAACATACAAACTTCAAACAGAAATGCCGACTGACCCAGTCTAGGCTTCAACCAGCGACCTTCTTGCTGTGAGGCGACAGTGCTGACCACTGTACCAACATGTCACCCCTAAATTGTTTTTTATTTCAAGTGAATTATGCAGAATTCAAAGTCACGTGCAAGCGCAGTAGCCTAGGGATGACGGTGGTCTTTAATCATTTGGACTGACACATGATGTAATGCTTTATCTTCCTGCGGTTACTCTGATCCCCCTTAAGTAGCTGTTTGCACATTGACTTGCTGACTAGGACACCAATCCTTCATTGCAGCTCTCTATTTATAGGCATGAGGGACTCTCCTGTCAATACTGGCTGCTTGTAGGGTGGACTGAACACGTTTGTTTTGGTTCCATAGACATAAACAGACTTTAAGCCTCAATACAATCAGGTTTTGGATTCTGAAAACAAGCTGTCATTATAGTCTACTTCATAACCGCAGTTATTCATAAAGGAGTATTATAGGTAACTGGTAGTCTTCGTCGAGTTTAAAATGACATAGTTATATCATATATTAAGCCTTTAAACGCTTGTGTTTTTATAAAGGCGATTAATGAAGGCATCAAGCTGTTTTGCTCAAGCGTTGGTAAATGCTTGATAAACATCGCCATCTTGTGGTAAATTTTAAAAGGCACTCTTTTAAAGAAACTTGCTCAATTACTAGGATCATGGAAACTTAAATACATTTGGGAATTATATGTGATAAACAGGAATCCTGCCTGAAATATAAACAACTACAACAAACATTTGCTCCAGCAAAAAGTGCAAAAGTGGATTAGACCGTATGTTTCCCCATAGTTTTCCCCCTTGGAGATTGAACCAACCATCCTGCTATCATGAGATATTACATTATTTTACTTTATTTTTTTTATAATTTATTTGTGTAACTAGTCTTTTGCATCGACCTTTATTTATATTTCAGTGATATATTGTCTGTGAAAAACAGCCAGAACAAAAATGAACAGACATTCAAGCAGCCCTCCTGCACTGGCTTCTTCTCATTCACATCTAAATTATTTTGTCCTTAAAGGTAACAGAGGGGGCGCTCTACATGTAAAACAAGAAACAAATGTTAACCCCTTCCTTCCTAACAGTATTCCAATGTAAGTGGATTTAGCCCATTTACTGACTGGAAATGGCTAATCTTAGTTGGTCAGGCTGGAAGATGATCAGCCAAAACCAGCTATGTCCTGCTTAAACCAAGCTAGTCAAGCTGGTTTCAGCTGGTAATTTTTCAGCCTGACCAGCTAAGACCAGGCTGAAAATGGCTGAAAAACAGCCTGGAAATGGCCTAAAACCAGGCTGGCCGACCAGCTAAAACTGCTGGTTTTAGCTTTTTTTTTTTTTAGCAGGGATTTGCTTCAAAAAAGCTTAAAAACATACAGATGAAACCACTAATGAGAGAAAAAAAAGCAATCATATGATGATGAATAAAAAATATGGATAATTATAAAACTTTGTTTAACTTTGTTCCCTTTATTGAAAACAATTTATTCGATTAATACTTAGTTTATTTTTAAAAACACATTTAAATGATTTAAGAAGTTAATTACACTGTAAAAAATAAATATCCTGATGGAGAAAATTTGTGGTATTTTTACTTCTGCAAGCCAACTATTTTACTCAGTATTAAGCAGCACACAGTTTGGTAATAATAAACCGTCAGTAAGATTACAAGTCAGTTTTGAAGATTGTCTTTGCATTTCTTCAAATCAATTTAGATCATGAACTCATACTCTGAAGTAACACTTCACATTTGTTTTGCTTACAATTGCAGTATTCATTAAATGATTCTTTAATTCTGTAATTGATTCTGTAGTCATTTTATTGTTTTGTGTGAAATTATCTGATGCATACCAGTGTGGATTAAACCTTCTTTTATTTCTTTGTGGACATTTACAGGAGAGCTGTTAAGCCAGCCTCGACCTGAGGGACTCACTGAGATCATCTGCCCTAAGAACGGCTCCGAGCGGGTCAACGTGGCGCTAGTTTACCCTCCAACCCCGACTGTGATCAGCCCCAGTCATAAATGACTCTTGACTTCACTGCACTTTCCTGTCTCCAAAAACCACTGCACCTCTTTCCCCTTCATATTACATCACACATGTGCACACACACAGAAATATACATGTGTTTGTGTGCGCAAAAGTTTGACCTCTGCTCTGATGGACTACTGGATGTTCCACCAAGAAAGTTCACAATGGAAGCTTGGCCATTACATCAGGACATACTTGCTATAGGTAGGATTTTGTTTTAAGCTACTTATTTTCTGATGAACTATACACTGTAAAAGGTGATTAGTTACTAGACAAAAAAGGTGAGTATGTAAAAACATAAAAAATTGAGTTGACTTTAAAATTTGTAACTTGGATTTGTTGTTTTACATTTTTTAATGATGCATGTAGTTCATTTATTTAGTTAAGGCAATGAGTTTACTGACTTTAAGTGCTGTCAACTAATGGCATTAAAAGCAATGGCTTTACTCCAGGGGTGCCCAAACTCAGTCCTGGAGGGCTGGTGTTTAGTTTAGTTCCAACCCCAATCAGACACCTGGGCTAGCTAATCAAGCTCTTACTAGGCTTTAACATCCTTCAGGTGTGTTGAGGCAAGTTGGAGCTAAAATCTGCAGGACACCGGCCCTCCAGGACCAAGTTTGGACACCCCTGGTTTACTCACTGGCTTTTTTTTTTTTTAAAGCTACGTCAACTAATCACTTTTACAGTGTATTATAAATGCATTATACTGGGAAAAATTCTGACTTTCTGCCATTTTGTTTTTCTGTAATATTGTAATATATAAATAGTTCAGATGCAAGTGCACTGCAAAAAACCTTAGATTTTTAATCTTGTTTCTAGTTCAAATATCTAAAAACTTAAATCAAGAAGCATTTTCTAGACAAGCAAAACATATAGTCTTGTTTTAAGAAAAAATATGTCAAAATGAAGTGAGTTTTTCCTTAAAACAAGCCAAATAATCTGCCAGTGGGGCAAGAAAAATAATCTTATGTCAAAAGGAAAAACAAGATTATTTTGCTTGTTTTAAGGAAAAACTCACTTCATTTTAACATATTATTTTTTAAAACAAGACTATATGTTTTGCTTGTCTAGAAAATGCTTCTTGATTTAAAAGCAATTTGGACTTGAAATAAGACAAAAAATCTATGTAAGAAAAGCATTTTTTTGCAGTGTGCCATCAGGCATTTTCCTCTAAAATTGGTGTTTTTCTCAGCCTTCTGTCTTTATATTAAGTTATTTCACTTTAAAGGCAATAAAAATAACTTTGCATGAAGTGTAAAATTACTGTAACTACACACAACTGTCTGAGAAAAATACTAATTTTAGATGAAAATTTTGCATCTAATTCTAAACTATTCCTATGTATTCAAAATTTCTCTAGGGGTCTTTTTCAGAAAGTGAAAACTCAATGTAGAGAAATCCTGAGTTTTCTCTTTCAGAATGGGAGGTTT